TTGATATATTGCTTTATGATGGCTTACAATTAATATTTTAGCCTAATAAAATTTATAAATCCACACAAACTGCTGAATAAAATCCATTCACACAGGACTGTATATATGGGAGCTCTCAGTTGAACATTCTGAATTTGGTTGTATTCTAAGAAGAATTGTACCGGATAATTTAAGAAGCAAAAAGAACAACTAAGACATTACATATGATGAAATAGCAATACAAATGGCATTTTATGTATCAAGTGCTGCTGCTTGTGATGACTCAAGAATTACTTTGATGGTCAACCATGAATCATAATTGTATATTCCTGGTCAGTATTAGGTATACAATATACAGGGATTGTAAGCAAGGGAAAGAGAATGCACAAACAAGAAAGGAAAAGAAAAAACAAGCACAATTAAAAACCAAAGGCATACATGCTAATGACACCACAACTTACAAGTTTGTAATGACCAAAGAAAAATATACTGTAAGAATGAAATAGATTAAGACATGGACATTGAAAAGGTATACGTACCCTCAGATCCTCAATCTCACCCTTTAGTTGCTCATTTTCATTCATCAATTTTGCAATTTCATCAGCTTTTGCCTGGAAAAAGATAGAAACAAAGTCATTGGATTATGGCATTAAAAAAAATTAGCACAAAAGGTTCACATCTTCATGTGTCATGCCTATTCAAGATGCTGGAAAAGGTTTAATTAGATTGTCAGTAAGATTATTTCATGCTGATTGGTATGGCCAATAAAAATGCATCAGAAAGCCTTCTTGGTCAAAAGCATGATCCAAATATTAAATAGTAAATATTTTTCTCTCATAAACTACAAATCCATGGACTTCAGTATCCTAATGATTTTAGTTCCAGAAATCAACCCATCCTCTCTAGACTGGAGCAAACCGCATATCCTACTCCTAATTACCAATTCTAACTTTCCCATTATATCCAGGCATTGACAAACATAACAACTTTGCCAAAAGTGCAGCAACACCATTCTGCACCAAGAAAAGTAATAGGCCAGTGGGGAAATATAAATACCTGAGATTGCCTGGCAGCTCCTTGAAGTGCAGTTTCCATCATTTTCATCTCCTTCTTCACCTTCTCCAATTCAGTTGAATCAGCAATACTGGATGAGTTGCCACTTGAACTCAAACGTTGTTCTTTTGCATCAATCTCATCATCAGCTTTCTGAGTCATCTCAACAGCTTTAGTTGATTTTGGTTCAGAGACCATATCTGCCAACTCTTGTGTATGATGAACAACGGGAAAGTTTCTTTCTGAGGATACTTCTGCATTTTCAGTCACATATGTTGTAACAGAATCTGAAACAGCAAGCTCTACACTTCCTGAATTCTCTGTTATCACATCTTGTGCTTGAAATGGAAAAACTTCCCCTGCGACCTCTCCTACCAGTGTCCTCTGGTCCTCTGTGCTCTCCTCCACAGCACCAATATTATCCAGTCCATCCAGTACAAGGGCTGCACCTGCTGCTTGATCTACAGATTTCATGGAATTGGGTTCCACTAACTCCGAGTTTTCAGAAGATCCTTCTGAGCCTTCCTTTAAAGGTTCTTCTAAGCTCTCCCTGGAAGATTTTTCTGAGCTGTCCTTTAAAGGTTCTTCTGAGGTCTCCTTCTGAAGTAGGTTAGGTGAATCTTTTTGCTCTACATTTTCAGCATTTGTCTCAGACACTTCAACAGGCAATGGTGATGAATCAGTTGCTGTTTCACTAATTTCTGCCGCAGGCATCTCATTTTGCTCTCCACTTGAAGTTAGTCCTTCTTCAGCAGTAACTGGATCTACAATATCATTCTTTCTTTCTTCCCTCACTTCAGCATGTGCAGTTTGTTCTACTCCAGATTTGGTCGAGCTATCAGGCTTGGCCAATTCTTCATCTATCATAGGAGATGAGAGAATTGATGATTCAGGTTTTCCAAGAGGATCCACAGTACTAACCCCACCTCTTTGTCCCATGAAGGACATGACGGGATCAAACAACGCTTTTCTATCATTAGCTGAAGGCCATAATCCTGGAGCTGATAAAACAGTAACCATAAAATAAATGGTTGAGAAATCAAGTAGGTCCATGACTTATCTACAACTTTTGTCAAATTATAGCATGTCATCTTTATTCTGAAATTATATAACCAAAATATCTTAAAATACAGAAACTTGCAGCTGATGCCTCCAAACCATCTATTTTACTCAATTATGTAAGAAGTATTGATCTTACTCTAATGCAAATCCTTATTATGCTTCTTTCTTCCAGTCATTGCACTCAAAAATTGTACCTTCTAATATTGAAGTCCATAGATTCCACGTTGCATAAAAAGTTGATGTTAAAAGTTTCTTCTTTTATGGAGCTGTTTATCCAAAGTCACGACCAGATCCTCCATTGCCATCAAATTCCTTGTATGTTGTAAGGCCCGACAAACCCCATGTTTTCACACATACATCTTTTTTACTTTTTGGGTTCTATTAGTTCTTCAATTTATTTTTTCTCTTTGCATTATCTTTCTTTTTTGTTTCTTTTTTTTTATTTGTTGTTTGGGAGGGAGGGGGTTTGCAACCACTCCAATTGATCCACCGAATAACATCATAAGAAACCATAGCGTTTCATTAATGTCTCTGTGCCTTTAATGTCCTTATGTAAATGGTCTGCACACATAGCAGCTGTACTACAATGAGAATGGTAAACACTAGATGGTTTTAGCCCAAACCATTGATCAGCCTTAATTTTTGGTACAGTATAAATCTTTTTTTTTGTCTGTGTGTGTAAGTGGAAGGTCTCAATCCGGGGACTTCTTACTTACACTCCCTTCCCCATACCACCCAACCCATCCCCCCCCCCCAACAAAATCATCACCAAGGTTAATTGCATCTAACTCGTGAGGATACACAACTCTAAACAGGAAATGCCAGATATCCAAATCCACTTGCAAACATTGACAGGCATTTTTTTTTAGTTTTTAGAACTCTCCCATAACTGTTTAAATTTCGTAACTAAGCTCATTAAGTAGTGACACTAAACAAAAAAATCTAAAATCACATTAATAGCATACACGCACTGAACAGAAACAAATAAAAAACATTAAGAGATGCCTACTTTCGTTGCTGCTGCCAGTGGTGCCATCAGATTTCTCCTCAAGGCCTAGAGCGCTATCGAAATTCTTCTCGATATTCTTGACGCTCTCACTGACTTTATTCAAGGCCCCGGCGAGATCCAAGCTCGATAGGGACACTTTCGCGCCAAACCAAGACATCTTCAGAACGATTCAATTGCCTCTACTATCAAATCACCCAATCCATAAACCTAGAAAAACAATCAAACCAGTTAGCAAGATCAATTAAGTTCACATCAAACGGAAAAGCAATTAACTTGCACAAAATTGGAATAACACATTAAAGAAAAGCAATAAACTTGCACAGAATTGGATCGCTGAGATCCAATATCAATTGTGTTATTAACAAAACACAACCTAAAACATAAAAGGAAGTTTAGATTAAACCTGAAGGTTTTGCGAATCAAATTGGGGTTCAGTTAACGTGGGCGCGGCGTCTAGGGACCAGAAGGCGACGGAGGAGGAGGAGGAGACAATGAGTTTAATTTGGAGTAGATTGGGACCAGAGAGCTAAAAGAGGGAAAATGTAGGATGGAAAAAGGGATCGACACTGAGTTGGAGCTGCCGCTGCCTTGTGCGGTGCCTGTGCCTGCTATTTTAATCGGTGCCAAAAGTTTATTCGCAAATCGAAAGAGGAGTAAAATTGTGGGATGAATGTGCTGTTGGTGCTCAAGAAGGTGAAACGGGGCAGGATCGATCTGGTCCCTGTTCCACACCAACTTTTTCTTGTACTTATATTACCTTTGCGGTGGAAGGAAAAAAAATAAAATTAAATAAGCCAGGTTAGAGTTTTATGCATTTTAAAAATACACTATTCACGTACAGTATTTTCTTTAAAAATTTATTTCAAATAATCTACTATTCAAACACTTAAACCAGCATAAAAGTACTACAGTATTCACATACATCACATAAAAGTACTACAGTATCTTTTTTAAAAAAATTATCTCAAACAATCTAGTATCCAAACGTTCACCTTTGCAAACAACATTGAACCAAATTTTTGTGGGTGAAAAGGAAAGGGTTGGATCGGATGGTAAAAGTGCTATAGTATTTTTTTCAAAAAATTATCTCAAATAATCTACTATCCAATCACTCGCTTTTACAGGATAATATTGAACCAATTTTTTGTCGCTAGATAGGGATGAGTTGGGTTGAATGGAAATATGAAAAAGATTATAAGTAGGAAATTCTAAATTTAAAAAAAAAAAAAATTCCTTCTACATTGTCAAGTTATAATTCTTAACATGTGTTCCTAATTGTGTGTCAATTCCTTGATTAATTCGTAATTTCTCATTAATTTGCAAATTGATGAATAAGTTGAAGATAAACCACTATCATACAATAATAATAATGTATTACTTTTTCTTTTTTGGCACACAGTAATGTTAGTAAAAGTGCAAAATACTCGTGATTATGTATTGAGTTTGGATTTGAATTTATTATAAATAACAATTACGGTAATATTAGATTGAATGAAAGAGGCAATATAATTTACCAATTACTAGATGAGTTCCTTTTTCATCATTTTCGAACTACTATCATTTTATAAGCAAACAGTAGTATCATTATAGAGACGAAACATCTATTTGCTTTGCAAATTACTAATTTGATTGGACAAAAATGTACACCATATCAATACGATCTCTAGATTGGTATTTCTCCTAAAAAAAATGATGTATTAGTATTTAGCGTTAACTCAATATGTGCCATCTTAAAAGGCAAAAATACACTTTTCAACCCCAATGTTTGATCTATTAACCAATTTTGTCCTCAAAATTTTACATGAAACACATTGCATCCTCGAAATTGCTTAATTTTGGTCCATTAAAGACAATTGACAGAATGAAAGGCAACTTGGATGGAAAGTTGGCACATGAGTTTCACGCCCAGTTTCTTCCATCTTCACTCATTCTCTCTCTTCTCCTCTCTTCGTCAAATCCTAATTTTGCAACCACCACTGTAAGCTCTTCAGTCCTTAATCTATTAGAAAATGACAATAACAGACATCGGGGAGAAATTGATCTCAAAAAATGAGTGGCGAAAGTTTTGGAACTTGGATGTTATCAACACTCTTCTACGATTGTGGACCGTAAACAAAGTTAACAACTTGTTGGCTTGGTCAATTCCCAAGAAGAAGGTTTGTCGGTTGTCCCTATGGGTGATAAGAAATCTTTGTGATATGAACATACTACTGAAACTATGATTTTAGCTGACTAATTTTTTTTTTTTTTCTAAATGTCGTTGTTTTGTTTATTTAGAGACCCAACAGGTGCAAGTATTTTAGGTGCATTAATAAATCAACTTGTTAAAAGGAAGAGTTCTTATACACAAGTCACTAAAAAAGATAAATAAGATCGAAGAAAATGTTGAAAAAATGTGAAAGAGGGAGAAATTTTGAATTAGTATAGTTGGAAATACGAAGGAAATATAAAAGAAGGCAAGTTGCTATTAAGTCCAGAGTGATGTTTTGCTATTTTTGCAAAAGAAGATCAGAAAATAGGCTTGATTTATTGTGAAATTGAAGTTATATTTTACAAAAATTGACCAAAATTGTAGTTTTAAAGGACCTATTTTGTTTGTAAAAAGTTTGTTCTCACATTGTAATTGATCTCCCCAAATTTCTTGTCCTTGTTCTGCAAGGATTTTTTTCCCATTTTGCTGGCTAAAATACGATGGTTAGCACGATATGCAACTCATGTCCTAACTTTCTGTTCAAATCGCTTTTCATTCTATCAATTGTGCTTAATCAACCAAAATTAAGCAACTTTAAAGATACAATAATGTATTTTGTGTGAAACTTTAAGGACGTAATTGGTCTAGAGACCAAACATTGGAGATGAAAGGTACATTTTTTCCCATCACGAAAATGTCTTTATCTGTTTTCTTTTCACCTTTTTTAACCAATTTTCAATTTACTCTACCATACAAATACGACACATTTCAAATCGTTGGAGCCAAAAAAAGATTCACCTTTAACGCTCTTCAGAGTTCAAAGTCCTCCCTCACGTTCGCTGCATCAGCTACGGTGGGCGACGATCGATCGCAGCTCATATCACCACCGCCATCCACACGCTCAGCAGCTGAATATTCATCTGGTTCGGAGACCAAAACTCTGCGCTAACTCACCTTTCGTATATCTTCGCCAACTATAAACGTTCCAATCTCTATCTTCGCGTTCATTTACGAAGTTTTAGCTGCGAAATTCCTGAAACTATTTGTAATTTACGATCTTTTTCAAAATCATCCACGATCTTTACATGTTTATCGTTGTATAGTTTGGTAGGTTTTAATCACTGTTACCGATTTTAATTTCCGGCCTTCTTGCGTGTTTTAGAGCTGAAGATACCGAACGAAGTCAAATATTTGGTTTGAATGGAGACAGAAGCGAAAGACTCAAAGTTTCCGTCGCATAGTTTGAGTCCGTCACATAGTCTTCTTAAGCGGCGAATCCACCGCAAATCTCCTATGGTGAAACTAGAGACTTTACCTGAAGGATCAAGTCTGCCGCGGAAGCGAAAGACTTCCTCTTTGTCACTGTTATATCCGCCTCCTCGTCCGCCATTAGCAATACTGTAAGGATCTTTTATGCTATATTTTTTTCTTATTTAAGTAAATGAGTTGTTATTACATACTTTCTCTGCGTTAAGAAATCTTTTTACTTTTGTTCGGAGGTTTTTAGTTTATCGATGACGAATAAATTTGTTGAGCTCCTTATACTGCAAAAAAAATGGGGAATGAGAATGGAAATGTCATGCGAGGACAATTCTCTTGCTTGTTTGTCTAAATGGACGAGTAAAAGAAAAAGCACTATAAATTAGATTTGTTAGAGAAAAATACAGTTTCTTGTGGAAGGGAAAGGAGTAATATTGTCTTAGTTTAGTTTAGTTTCTCAGGATATACTGTTGGGTGGAAAATCAAAATATCAAAAACAAATATCGCCTACTTTGATGGTGAGCACAATGACAAAACAAAAATTTTAACTCCTGGTTGTAAATTAGTAAATATTCTCCTCAATTTCAAGGACAGTGGATAGTGTTGAAGACACTGTATTTGGACATTTGCGTTCAAATTCAAATCAAAGAATTCGCTTAGTATTCATAACCTGACTTTCAAGCTCCAGAATTCAAGTAGTAAAAAATTTTCCAAAAAAAAAAATTTGTTGATTTATTTTACTTCTAATCCATTTTATGCAGTCATTATTTTGCTTTTGTTATACCTTTTCATTTTTACTGGATTCATTCAGCAGCAAAATAATTTTTTGTGCAATGTGAAAACAGATATGCTGAATCTTAACCATATCTTTGCAGTCAGCAGTTGTAAATGTGCTTCCATCTCATGCAATTTTAAGTTGTCAGCTTGAAAGAGTTCATACATCTTTGACTGACAATTTTTATGCATAATTTTTCTCTGGAAAGTCCAGTCCAAAGATAGAATTTGATGATTTCAAGTTGAGAGGTGAAATTCCTGCGAAGGAGAAGCACTGTAAGTGCAAACAGTCGAGCTGTGTAAAGATGTAAGTGCTTCTTCTTTGCCCATGACCTTGTTCATGTTAAAGGAGTCATCTAAGTGATATTCTACTAAATTCTTCCCCTTGCTTTTCACTTGTCTCTCTGCCAGAAAATTTTCAGTTCTACATCTAATTAAAGTTTAGAGTATCTCACATTTTCCATAAGCTGGACCATTAGATTGTATAGACGTGACATTTCAAGTTTCTGTGAACATTGGTTGTATTTTATGCAGAGAATGACAGATAGATGAAACAAAGCAGTATTAGATGGAGAGCTACTACCTATTTGTCTTGACAAACATGTTTTTAAGATGTTTTACCCAACACAATATGTCTTAGCAAACACCTAATGCATTTCACTTGATCGGTTAGGTACTGCTTGTGTTTTGCATCCGGCAAGTACTGTGATGGATGCAGTTGCTCCAATTGCCAGAATACTTTTGAAAATGAGGAAGTACGGCAGGCTTCTATTGGACTCATTTTACAGCGTAATCAGAAGGCTTTCAGGACAATGGTTGTTAGTAGTCCAGAGTGTTCTCAGGACAGTGAGGTAATGTTTTTAGCTTTATCCAGACAAATAATCCTTTCTAACATTATAGATTGTCTCTTTTTAGCTATACGAGCTGCTGAGTTTTATTGCTGAGAAGTCTGTAATATTAGTAATGGCATATTTTAGTGTATCAGTAAATCTACTTATTACTGGCTTTTCAGTGGTGGTAATTGTGATCTAAGTGTTAAGTTTGCGAAATCATGTACAAGTGAATATAGTAGCTTATATCCCTGGAAAAGCTTCAAAATTAGCTCTGACTTTTTCGTTGTGAATGATATGAAATAATTCCAATTGAGTAAGCTCTAAGTTTTACCAGAAAACGTATGGTTTTTGTATGTTTTCCTATTTGAAGGGAATAATGCACCCAAATGTTAATGTTTTCAAGTTATCTTTGTTTTCAATTTCTAAGTTTTCTCTATAATAATAGACAATGATAGCTACATAGGAGAAGAAACCATGGTGATAGCACAAATTCAACTAATTTTTAATTTTTTTTCTGACCTCAAGGAGATGCTGTAGCTTTGCATCAGCATATTACAAACTTTTTTTCGGGTGCAGTGTAAAATAAGATTGTCTACCTCATAACATCAGGACATTGCTCTGAAGTTTCTGTCTTTTCTTCTTCTTCTGCCTTTTTTTTTGGCAGTTATTCTTTAAAATATTATGCAGTTGGCCCTCATTAAAGTTGGTTATAATGCCTTGACTTTCTTAGGAGCCCTGTTTGGGTTTTCTGGTGTAGATTTGATCATTATTGTATAGATAAGTTAGTGAATCCATCTTGAAAGGTTATTTTACATTGATATTGGAGATTTATATCTGGCTGTATATTAAGGAGAAAGGGTCTCTGACCTCTTCCAAGTGCAGAATGGAAGAAAAAATGCTTTAATTTTGGTCAGGTACATAGGCTGCTGCTGCAAGAGATCACGGTGCATTCAGGGGTACTGTGAGTGCTATCGTGCTAATATCATTTGTTCCAAAAATTGCAAATGCAAGAACTGCAAGAATTCTAGAGCATATGAAGAAATGTAAGCTCTCTTTTATTGAAAAATGCTAGCATAATAGCTTTCTTTTAGCAGACAAATCCTGCTATGATTAGTGTTGTTGTATCCTCTCACACAGAAGCTCAAAAGAATCAAGAAAGTTCTTTATTAGTGTTGTTGTATCCTCTCACACAGAAGCTCAAAAGAATCAAAAAAGTTCGAAGGCCATGAGAACTTTCTTGATTCACATAAGAAGGAGCAGCTCGACTGTATGCTTCCACAAAGTTGGCCGGTAATAACTCAAACTGTCTTGGATGTTTGATTGAGGAATTACAAGCTTTTCTCTGCGTATAACATTAACTTTAGTTAGTGGTAAGGCATCATTAGTTAGCAATCAGCCAACAATTGGAAATTAAAAGTCCTTGCTAATTGTATGTCCATCTACTTACAGTAAGATTACTTTTACTATGTTCCTGTAGAAGCAACTAAGTTTTGGCTGATTTCTTGGAAACTTGAGGGCAGGGATGAAGCTATAAATTTGACAAAGAGCAACATGACATAAGCTTTAGATAGATTTAAAACATGAGTTACTGAAGTTTCCACTAGAACTAGTTGCAAGTTTGACAAGCAGAAATTTCACTAGTCCACGTGAAATTATCTAATACACTATTGATGAGAAAATTGAAAAAGTCCAGGTTCTAATTTAGCAATGTCCGCTTCTAAGGAGGACATTTTTTGTTCTTTTACTCTTGTTCAACTCTACAGAGCCATGTCCAACTATTTCAAGTCCGCTAGACTGATCCATTTCTTCCATGATATGTTGTCAACTTCATGATCGCTTAAAACATTTGCACGGCTTCTTCTTTTCCTTCCTCTAACTTATTGCTTTACCCCCTTTAGCAGATTTTTAGAGAAGCAGCACAAGGTCCTTTGAACTTCCGCTTCAGGTTTAAATCTAATTCCACTTAGCTTGAGATGGCGGAGCTGAATATATTGTGCTCATTCATTTTTCAAATGGTACTAATTGGTAATGCTAATCTGTTGAAGATCCTTGTTGGCTGAAATCATTCAGCTGCAAAACTTGATGGAGTTTTGTGAATTATTGATCGTAACATCAAAAGCTGTTAATAGCCTTTCAGGTCAGTTTCACACGTAAATGTTCTTCTATCAGTGGCATGCAAAACTCCAGTTTTACTTCCCTCTCAGGTTGCTTGGTTTTATAAAATGCATTTTCATGATGTCAATCATTCAGTAGGTTTTGAAAGGAATTAAGGTTTTGCGTGGGAATTATTACAGGTCTTGCTGTTGCTTTTCCAGAAAATTTTACTTTATATCGCTTGTTTGGCAAAAAAAAGTTATGCATTCATTTATTTAAAAAGCTGTCTTTCTCTGATAGTATTTAAGTTAATGAAACTATCACTGTTCATCTGCTTGTCAAAATCATACTCTGATTCCTAACTTCAACATGAGCAAGAGTAGTCGCGATTAATGTTGTGAAAACTTTGGAATTACCTCCTGTTATACTCGAAAGCAATTTTAGACTCTCACTAATATTGGAGCATTTTCTGTCCTATCTGCACTCATCGTATCTAGACAAAGGAAATCCTCTCAATTTGGAAAACCTGAGTCACGAACAGATAGTGAACAGTTCTTCTGCGCAAATGGAGAGCCAGGATGAACGATCTGAGAATCAGGGATCTAAGCAGGACAACAATGCAAGTCTAGCTCAGATTGACGTGCGCTGCCAAGATTCCACCTCTAATGCTATCATACTGACAGAGAGGCCAAGGTCACCAGAAACTCTTCACTTGATGCGCAACGAGAAAGACATGTCGTTGTATCCAGATGCTTCATCCGATGTGGCTTTAAATCAGGGCTGCTATTTAGATGTTTACATCGAGCAGGAGAAAGTTGTACTCGTAAAACTCCGGGATTTCCTTAACAGCCTCATCACTAGTGGAAAAGCAAAAGGTAAGGTTCTCGCGCCCTTGAACAAGAGAGTTAATACCATCAGCTTGTATTGGAAAATTGTGTGCTGGCCCCCTTTCCTCCCATCGCCCCACCCCGCCTCCCCACTACTGTCCTCTCCCTAATAGATGCCGTACTTCAGATATTTGATGTCTTTGCTAGTGGATTATGTTGCATTCAACCACTTTGTGAGACGACAGAATTTGTAAATGCACTTATTTCAAGTGCAGCATTTTGCAAATGCAAATACTTGCTCTCTATGTAACTTCCCTTGCTAATCACCACATGGTGCTCGTCAAGGGCTATCATTGGCACCATCTACTTTCCTTGCCAGTCTTATGTTGCTAATATTTGTTTCTAACAAAATTGCAGATTCTGAGTTGTTAGCAGGAGCCAAAAAAGCGAATGGAAGGGAAAAATTTTATCCGCAATTTTGTGTTCTAGAATCAGAAATGGAGAAACATGAAGAAGTGGTTCAAAGCTTACAGCATAAGACTTGGTAAATTCCCCAATTTCTGAAGCATCCAGTGCCAATTTTAAAAATCTGAAATGGGAGCTTGATGAAACGGGTAACCATAAAAATTTGGGTTGTAGAACCTATTGTGTAAGGAACACTGAGTACTTCGAATGCAACAGTGTCTGCTGCAATCTGAGTCGGACGTTTGTGAATCGTCATAAAAGTTGTTTAGTTTAGTCTCAACTATAAGAGACGACGAGCAATTCATGGTTGCTATTATTCTTCCGAACATAAATTTTATAGTTCCAATGAGGAAAACATGCCAGAGTGTCCCAGGCTATGAATCCGCTTGAGGAGTTCCCATCTTACGGTCCGCACTCTTGTCACCTTCGAGTAAGGCTGCCTGTAACACACGGAATGGTCCTGGTATTTTCTAGTACTAAACTAGAAAGGATAGAGAATACCAAGACCTAGAGAATGAATCATTTCATCTCTTTCTGGAGTGACCAATGTAAATCTGCTTTCCGGGATTGACAAGAGCGTTAATGGGCATCGCCGGATTAATACCACGCATACCAAAATTCCAGATCAGCATACACAGATAATCTTTAATGGCTCAAATTTTCTCCAAAACTGGCTGTCAATCTCTGTGGTTAAAGACTTGAGAAAATGCTCTCCAGTCGGCTAAATGCTTCAGCCAAGGATCCGGCATGTTGGGTGTCTGTAATGAAATAGAACATGTTCCCACTCGTTCTCATAGCGCTGAGCTAAGAACAGAGTATTATGCACTTATGTTGATTTGAATGTCTATCGTTTAAGAAACATAAAAGGAGACAGGATATATGTGTATAAATTCATTGCCGTATACATGATAAACGCTATCGGCCGCCCAAGATGTCTGATAGTGACTTGTTCGCGCTGCGAAAAAACTCTTCCCTGAAAAGAAAATGCAGATAACAAATGTAAGAGAGTCTGGGAAGTAACATCGCACTACAAGAAAAGATTAATGACGGGTATAATAATACGGGACTCTGTTAAGGACGACTAGTGGACAAGATACGATAAAGAAACAAACACAACTAATTTCATTCACAAATGTGAGATGAGTAAGGTGGTCATGCATCTCTTGCTGAAAATGCTCACAATTAATCAAGTGGCGAAATGAGAACTCTTGTATGCCAGAGAAGGCGACCGGCATCTGAACACGTATAATCTTAATTGTAATGTTATATTTCACAGAGAGCCCTCGTCCCTCAACCAAGACCCAAACAAAGGGAAACCGGAAAACAAAGGAAAAATATGGTTGGCAAATGAAGTTAGTAAATAAACAACTTACCGATCGGGTTTGAATAATAGATTACGATAGACGAACCACTGAAACAAAGCAGAAAAGGTAGGTTGTAAGCGGAAAAGGATATAGAGAGTAAAAAATTGTAGCTTTCTTTCAATACCCATGCAACCATATAGAGCACCCACAAGAAATGGTCTCATGAGATTTATTATCTCATCTTTCTTTTAATACTCAAGCAACCATAAGAAACCATATACTTTTTCAAGAAACCATACTTACAGAAGAAAATAGTATCCCGACCAATTCAAGTGCAGTTGGGATGAGAGGGAGCTTGTCGATGGCCTAATGCAAAATTCACGACGTGTCAGAAATTTAGTAGTTTCACAAAAGTAAAGAGTTGACCATACGTTTCCAACAAACAAAAGATTCACAGAAAAGCATCCATCTTGGGCAAGAAAATACAAAGTTGCACTATGCAATCTCATAAGACAACTCCAATAGCAAAGATTATCCTCGTCAGACTGTCAAGAGGAAGGATCTCCACTGGCAGAAGAGCAATAAAAGGAAAAAACACAAATGAATGTGAGATGACACTAGGATCTTAGAAGGATCTTAGAATGTCATTTCGTCTTTATTTCTCTAAGTAACACTTTGTTGGACTCTTTAACTGTTCGTATCAATTGCCTGCTAGGATATGCATTGCACGGGAAAGCATTCATGCCTTTTTAAAGATGGAAACATCACAGGAATATCATGGACTGGTAAGCTGACACATGGAAATTGCTGTCTCTGATATCAGGGTTTTGAACCTAATTACAAAATCTCAAGTTTTTGCTGCATTATCCCAAACATATACAGACAAACCTGGATTACAAATCCCTGTCACTAGCAATTTCCACGATTTATTTCCATGGTTAAGGAAAAAGGGAAGTAAATCAATTACTAAGGCAAGTTAATCAACCCCAAGTTTTTGCTGTATTTTACCAAAAATATCCAGACAAATCTGAATTATACATCCCTGCCTCAATCAAATTCCATAAACTTTTTTTTTTCCATGGTTAAGGAAACAAGGAACTGAATCAATTACCGAGACAAAATTCACAATTGCCCAAAGGCCCACTATTGCGGAAAATCCCAACCCAATTACAGCAATCCGATCTTCAGATTTCTCCCACTGGTAAAAGAAACTAACAAAGTTAAGATGGTGTCAAGAAAACAATTACAATATGAGCATGAAAAGCATACAACCAACTCTTAAAAGGCAAAAGGAACCAGCGACTATGCTGTTTGATTTTCATTTTTTATCCTTCTATTTTTTCTTTGACAAAGACGAGAAAGGGGAATTGGGCAATCCCTGAACAACAAGCCCACTGGGGAGGATTAATCAGTTTTTCTGGAACTATCTAGTGGATACATGCTATCTGGGCATCAGATGAAGCAACATGCTTTTGTTTGGTTCCACAAATGTTGGGGGGGATCATCTACCAACTGCATAAGCAATTCATGCACGAACACAAAATCTGGAAACGGTAAAAGGCAGGAATGGAAGCAAAAAAAGATCATGTCTTAAGTGACACATTCAAGCATTCAAAAGTCAATTCTTTTTGTTGTAAGTAATACCAGTAATTGGTTAGCATATTTGTTGATCTATTACCTACTGCAAAAAGGGATTTTTATGACCCAGAAGTCTGTCATTTTGTGTTTCCCTTGGCACACTGCACTGAAAAAAAAGACAGAGACAGAGGACCTACAACACTTTGAACAGACTTCACAAGAGAGGTTGAAGATTCATCAGAGGTGTCACTTGTAGCCTTTGCAACAAAAGCAAACTGACCTTGCCTACCTGCAAGAAAAATATTACAATAAGTACTGAGACCGAAAAGTTAAATCATTACAATCTCCAAGTCCCCAAGTATATGCCAACTTGAACCATTGAAGTCATATCCACTCACGAGAAAAATGAAAAGCCTCAAAGTTTTTACTCTTGTACAACCTTCTTTAAGTCCTGATCAGATTTTGTTCTGGCCTTTTTTTTTTTGCTTTGTCACATCAAGTATTACTAAAAAGCTGCATCATTCGCAATTTTCTCTCACGACATTTTTCTTCTTTGCTCGTTCTGGCTAATTTTCTGAAGCACGTACCGTGTTCAAATCAAATTACCTAGTCCATTGTTTAATTTATCTTTTCTAGTTACTGACCAGCTTCACTAACAGAAACTTTTTGATGATTAACACTGCTCCAAGTAAAAAGTAGTTGACTTCAAAACTCGTCAAAAATATAAAAAAATATATAATCAAGCATGTAGGAGACAACTTCTTTTTCACTCTGCAAGAAAATCAAGCAATCTGAAACTCTCTAATGCAGCCAAAAAATGTTTATGCATTTCAGGAATAAACTTGAGAAGTTCACCAATTTCCTTTGGACATTCAAGAACAAAGTACTAAAAGTCCATTACTTTAGGGCTCACAGAAAAAAAAAATTAAACTGCCAAAAAGCAAATCTTACACCACCACAAGTTACGCCTTATACTTTGGCACAATGCTTTTCAGTTCACCAAATATAGGTCGCCTTGATGAAATTATGATTCAAATGATGAAAGACATGGAGAAAGAGCGATCATGGTCCTCTACTTCAGAATTTCAATACCAAATTTCAGTTCTTTTGGCGAAACAAATTTCTAGGCTGCCGGAGATTTCGCTTTTCTTCTTTCTTCCAAGTCCAATAATCTCACTTTGGATTCAAATATAGAGTCAGAATTCAGTCAACTAATGTCTAGTGCACGGGAGCTCACAAAAGCACAGAACCATTAACTAGAATTATGCCCAGGAAAAAAAAGAATGAAAAAAAGAAGACAAATGAGCTTACAATTCAGATAGCTCTATCAAAATTCACAGCTTTTTCTTTTCATTTTCACAGCTTTTCTGGCATCAATTAGAAATAAAGAAGTGGCTTACCTCCAATGCCAGGCGCTGTAACTTTCTGAAGAGTACTCAAAAGGAGGTGCCGTCCATTAGCAAACAGTGGTGGAGGAGGCAGCTTAGCAAGAATTGAAGCCATCCAGATGGCAACTTCAGTAAAAAGGGTCAAACATTTTAGACATCAGATAGTCAAAGCAAGTAAAAAAAAGGGAAAAAAAACTGAGTTGCAGATTTCGCAAGAAATGGGCTTTTATTTCACCTTCTTAGCAGGTTGAAGCTAAGAGTAATTCTTAAGAGAACGCAAATCAAAGCAGAGGAAACAACTAGGACTGGGACTGGGCACAGGTGAGTGGTGAGTGAAGAGTAAAGAACACGCAGTGTCGGACGCCACAAACAAGAGGATCTACTAATAGTGTAAAAGCAAAGAAAGGATCTTGGACTCTTGGGGGAGTAGAGGAAAACGAAAACTGATAGGCCAGTCCAGGATCATGTTGGGAGTTAGTGGGGTCTGGAGCTAGCGGGGCATTCGGTTTAAATTGGATTCGATTATTTGAATTCAGTTTTTTTTGGTTATTTTACTTGTAAAATTCTTAATCGCTTTCAATTTCGAATTAGAAATAATCGAATATATCGAATGAATTCCGAAACGGTCATGAAATCAGTTATAACTGAATTGGATAGTAATTTTCACATAATTAAAATGAGATTCACTTGTATAGTTGTATATATTTAGTCATTTATAATTTACTAATTATGTGTTGTATTACACTTTCAATTATTCTTATTTTTTATATAGCTTAAATGCTTAATTTGCAAATAATTTGATTGTTTTCAAGAGTGAATGCTAATATACTAATATGTTGACATGTAATTCATATGCATTCGCTAAAACTGCTTAATCAGAGTGCTTAATTGATTACGTTTAAACAATATTAGTGATTAAAGAATATTAATTTATATATTACATATGTAATGTAATTTTATAGTATACTAATACTTGCAAGTTAAAAGTTACACATTCAAATATTTAATAATCTAAACATGAATGATGAACGAATGCCTAAATTCTAATTACTAACTATGTGTAATATTTAGTATTATACTTATACTTATTATCTAATTCTAGTTATGTATAAAGGAATAAGTATTATAGTATGTATTATTATATATTTGTATTATTATAATCATATAACAAATACTAAAATAGTATATTGTACATCATTATATATTATTATTAGTACATGATAATACTATATACTATCTATTATTAATAGTCTTTACCTATATAATATTAATACTATATAGCATTTACTTAAATACTCCCCCCATCCCACTTTGATAGTCCTGTTTTCCTTTTTTGTCTGTCCCAAATTGTAATCCACTTTCCAATTGAAGAATGTAGTTGTATTTTAATTTTCCTAAAATATCCTTATTCAATGTAAGTTGTTGTTACTATAAACCTACCCCATTTAATGAGAGTTGATTCTTTTTTTACTATCAATTCAAGTTCCCATAAAGTTGTACTCTAATTAACGTAAGGGTATTTTAGAAAAATAACTACCTAAATTGATTGTTCCAACAAAGTTAACTATTTTTTCTTAAACTGTGTGAAAAAAAAAAATCAGGACTATCAAAGTGGGACGGAGAGAGTATTATATAATTTCATAAACTAATTTGGGATTCGAATCTGGTAATATGGTATTCTATTTCATTTTACCGAATTTGAATTTAAAATTGGTTATTACCAAATTGAAAATTCCATTACCTATTTCATACTATATTAGAATTCGGTGAATTTAGTAAATACCGCTTTTGTATCTAATTACCGAATACCTAATTTCAAATTATCAAATTGAATTTGAAATCTGGGGACATACAAAATCTCCTCACCCCCTATCTGGAGCTTATTCGGTAAATGCAAGAGCGCAAATTCAGTGAAAAATCGCAACGGATAATTGAATTGCACCTTAACATTTATCCAACATATGGGTTATTGTCTACAAAGCAGATATCTAGTTAAAAAAGAATTCTATCTCAACACTGGCGGTTACAAATGAAATTCATTTGGCAGTAAATTTGATGACATTTTTGTGATATCATTATTTAAAGATGGTAAATCAACCTTTTCGCGGTGCCTATTCATGAGTGTTTCATTGATAAAAGCAATAAAGAAGAAGAGATAAGGAAAAGATTTAACAACAAAGGCAAGAAAGGAAAAGAAAATGGAAAGCAGAAAAAGTGAAAGAAAGCAACCAAAATATATTTGTCCAGCAATATTTGCATTACTCCAAAATATATTGGGGTTAAATAAATGTTGATGAAAAAATTGAAAGGGTAGCGGGTAAATAGTAAATGATGTCACTATGGTTTTGGAATTCTTCTCCGAATAAACCCCTGGTAATCAAAATATATTGGGGTTAGGAATTCTCTAAATAGATCACGGTTACGCTTTCCAGCATTAGTAGTGTCCCCTAAATCTGCCGAACTTCAAGCACTCAGTTTTGTTCCCAATTCCTAACAATCCCCCTTTCCCAACTCCCTCGAAATCCTTTTTTGTTAAGGAAAATAATAATATATAAGTTTCAATATTGTTTCTCTCGTCCTCTTCCAGTTCATGATCGCAGGAGAAAGTCGAACCAAAAACAGAAAAACCAATTTCTTGACAGCCGTTTAGCAGCACCACCATTCATCATCTGTGATGCCGAAAGATCGTAAAAAGACCGAGCCCTCATCTTCTTCACATGGTGTGCGGTTCTCCCCTTACACTTCCAACTCAAAGAATCGTGAAAATTGCAAGAAAGACGGGACGGAAGGCTGTGACGAAAAGGGTCGGTGGCGAGAAGAAAGATGTACGATCTGCATGGAACATCCTCACAATGCTGTTTTATTGATTTGTTCGTCGCATGAAAGAGGTTGTCGGCCTTACATGTGTAGAACAAGCCGCCGCCTTTCAAATTGTCTTGATCGATTCTGTAAGTTGAATTCAGTGAGGCCATCAAAATCAACCGGTAGCGATCAGCAGCCAAACAAGTTCGTTCGCTGTGGAGGAAAAGGGAGCCCTGATGATGATGAACTGCTCTGCCCTCTTTGTAGGGGGCAAATTCATGGATGGATTGTCACGGCATCTGCCCGCAGATTTATGAACGCATTAGCACGAAGTTGTCCTTTGGAAACATGCGATTTCTCAGGAAGTTATGCTCAATTAGTGAAACATGCCCGGCTTGCACATCCAGAGGCTAGGCCGTCCGAGGCTGATAAGCAGCGTTTGTCCGATTGGAATGATGCGGAAGACGTTGAGAACGAGTCGGGTGATCAAGAAGATTTAGATGAAACTGAAGAAGTAAAATTCGAAAGATTGCGTCCAGGTGATGATTTCTTCAATCATATTCATTTTGGGGATGAAAACGATACGATTCTTGATGAACATTACTGCATTGAGAATGGTATTTTCAAGTATTTCAGAACGACCACTTCGGGGAAATCCTATGAGTTTGCAATGGTACTGGAGTAGATTGAAGATTGTAATTTCGGACTCAGTTGTCTTTACTTGGAGAAGAAATTTGCGCCAAGAAGAGATTGTTTAGAATCTTTAGATTAAGAAGGGTCAGTCGAATGAGTAAAAGCTTGCTTTTTTATTTCTATTGTTATTCTTTTGTTGCATTCATTCTCTTCTTTAGTAATTTTTTTTGTTTTTTTGGCTTATTTGAAGGAAAATCAATTCATTCATTCAACCTGCCCACAAAGCACACAAAACTCCCTTTCAATGACAAAGTAGATGGGAAATTCAGGAACATTATTATTGTTCTTCCTGCTTACATGTGAAACTAAAATCATTTTAACAATCCGCTAATACTTCTGATCAGATTGCCAATTAACGACAGTTGCTTGTGATTTTCTGAACAATGCTTAAGGAGGCATCGCCCTCTCCCTCCACCTCCAGCCAACAAGCATTGAGAATGTGCCCAAATCCTGAGCAAATTGCAGAGCTTTTATTTCTCAAGATTATTAAACGGGCCGCAGATGTACCTGATTTGGGTTGCTCTGATCACCCAGCCCGGCGATTCACTCGTTGATGGATACGTGTTGAGATACATTAGCCTGGAGATGCCGCATCAAGCCCAGTCAGTCCATGGCTTTTAACAAAGAAATGTAGTCTGACCAATCCAAGGACGTCTAGGGCGGTCCGTCAGACAACTAGACTCCTCCCAAGCCCAAGCCGAGAAATCTTTCATCCTTTATAAATTGAGCAATTTATAAAATTAGTAATAGTAAGAGGATTTTTTTTTCTTCAATTGATGACTCTATGGTTTTGAATTTCGAGGATTTTTTTAAAAATAAAATTTTAGCTTTTCTTTCTAATATAATATATTTTCAACTTTGCATCCACTGTTTTATTTGCATGGACCTGAAGAGAAAGAAAGAATCCTTTTTTTTTTTTTTGGTTGAAGACAGGACTAGAAAAAAAGTCAAAGAATAATATCTACCGTGTCTAATCGTACAAACCCAGTCTTCATTACAGCCAGACAATGGACGATATTACTCAAAACTTGTAAATCCTTTGTTTTGACAGTGATTTTCAGCAGAAAATTTTTTATTTTTTTTATGAACATATTTTTTAATTATTTTTTTACTTCACGTGCCAAGCATCGCAAAAGCCATGCACTTTCAGCTATTTAAGGGTCCGTTTGATTCAATGTAAAATATTTTCGACGAAAAATGTCTTCCATGAAAAATTTTATCAAAGAAAATAATTACCTTCTCCATGTTTTTTCCGGTGTTTGGGAGCAGATGGAGACTACAAAGCTTTAGTGGACTATTGCACAAGTGGTGGGTTTTGTTCTGAATCTTAAGGCTAGTGGGGGAGCTTGAATGGAACGTCTTACAAATTATGAGTCAGACATGGAAAATAACTTCAGTTCATCTATATGGGAAGTCATTTTACACCATCTGATGTAAAATATTTTCAGTAGGAAAAAATTTTCCCAAAGCAATAACCCAATCAAACAATAGAAAATAAGGAAAATATTTTCCTTTGAAACAAACAGACCCTAAGTGTGTACAATTGCATGTCTTGACTCATAACGGTGATCGAAATTAAATACATCCAAACTTTGGATGAAGGAAACTGGGCTGGAATTAAATTCTGAATCGGCCAAAACAGAAATGCTTATTTTGCATGTGAGATTTTAAGTACTACTAATTGTTTCCTTGATTCCTTTTTTTTTTGGTAGGAATTGTTTTCTTGAATCAATCAGACAAAAGGTTGTGTGTTGAATCTCCCTTGCCCCCGTGAGAGCTGTATTTGTGAGCGATTTGTTGTAATCAATCCATGGTCCTAATTGCATGTCTCGCCTTATAACGGTGATCGAAACTGAATTTATCTAAATTTTTTATAATTTTATGCAAAATAAAGAAAAAAAATCAACCTTTTATTGGAATCTTTATTTAGTACAGTGTAACTGAATTTTGAGGTCAGTACTCAGTAGTAGTAGGTGCCGTTGAATCTTCCCGCTTGAATATTTCGCTATAGAACGTAGGTCCCTGCAGTGTGTACAGTAAGCAGAAAACGAAGGTGTCAATATTGGAATTAATTGCTTAAGATAAGAAACCGTCCTTTCGGTCCATCTTGGAATTGTAGCAACGCTTTCTTTCTTTCTTTTTTTTTTTTTTTTTTGTGGTGTTGAAACATCAGAGTACAAGAAGCATAAGCAACTAATAACCAGAGGATGGTTAATTTTACTGTTGCCAAAGAGGTCGTTGTGGACCGATAGATGTCCATAGGATGTTAGTTGCCTTGGACATTAATTAAGACGGGTCCCCAAATATTGATGGATGGCTGCTCTCCCTTTGTTTTTTCTTCTACGGTGGTCCAACTTAGCAGCTTTTCCTGCCAGAGCTGTAAATTTTCTCGGACAATTATCTTCAATTGTGATAGCTGTCTGAGATCCGTATATGCAATCATAAATAGAAACTTAAAAATCTTCTCCCTTTCTCTTTCTCTCTCTCTCTCTTTTTGCATATTAGCACTCCTGATGGACTGAACCACAAAATTTATGTTTTGGCTAAATTATATATATTTCCAACACCAGAACTCTTTATTTTTATTTTTTGAGTGTAAAACAGATACTACATTGATTGGGCAATTTTTTTATATATATATATATAATTGAAGCACACACAGACCAAAATACATAGAGGGACAAAAACGTTTTACTGTATTCATGTACTGTGAAGAAGATGGCATTTAGATAGATATTCATGCCCTTAAGGGGTTCTTCATGTTTCCTTGATGGAATCCTTTGTATTTATGGTTATGGTTAAGGTTAGAATTTTCTGCTGACAAGTGTGGAGGGAGGGATGGAGATGGGTAGCTAGGGGCAAAAGAGTAAAACCCATTAAAATCGTTTCAATTACTTAGAAGAGACAAATGGATGAGATGAAATATATTCCATCTTTGATCTCTGTTGAATGACCTCATTTTAAAGCAACTACATTCATGAATGAGGGATATAAAAAAGGTGTCCAGGCACTCATCAACAACAACCACCGGCCTTTGTTTGAACTGGCGGCCACCACTCAGCCATTTAAGGTTCGGTAATCTTATTTCTCATCAATTGTTATATTAAGTCAAAAATTCAGACACTTTTTTGTTTGGTTTGATGGTGATTCAATTCCTATCGTGCCCCTAGATCCAGTTGTTTCTCTCCCTTAGATTAGAATAGTGTAAAATACCATAGATAAAGTGACAATTGACCAAAAAAAAACAAAAAAAAAGTGGCTCATCAACAAAGTCTCTTTTAACCAACCGAGTGACCGACCAATTGCCTCCAATCCATTTAATCTACTACTAATATTACTATTATTAACACCTTTCAATATTCCATTTCTTCACTACCATCATCTTCTGGTACTTACTTAATAGTGCAGCTCTGATGAGCACAAACGTAACGCATTCTTTCTTTGACAGCAACCTTTTACCTGCTGACTTCCACGTTCCCAAACTACCACTTCACCTGCTTGTCAACACCTAATGGTCCTCCGCACAAACAACCTACTAATATTTCAACAAATTCTTTCTTTTTTTGGGCCACAATTCAAGAATTCATTCCTAGTACGTAGTTTCAAATTCTTGCAATTGTTACGGGTAAAATGGCGTCCTCCATTCATTATTGCCCCGTGTGTTTTGCATGGCGACAAGTGACAACCACAGCAACTCATGACGGAGAACAAAACGTTTTTTGGGATATCAAGAGGTAAAATTTCCCAAAAAAAAAAAACGTCAACTATCAACTGTAATTAATGCTGCTTATCCGATTTTACAATTTCATTGCATTGCTGCAGTTCTCTAAAAACGACTAATAATAATAAAAAAAAAAAATATTTTTTTGTCATTTGCGTCCTGCCATTTTAAACCCTACCCCTCATGAATTTCTTCTCTTGCATTATAGCATGATGCGCCGCATGTCATTGCATCCAACATCAGTGGCGAGGCCAAAAATATAGTAAATATTGAATATAAATATTTTATAGTATAAGTTTTAAAAACGATTCAAGATTTTAGAGAAGACAAGAGAAGGGCTTCATATAAAGAAAGAAAGAAAGAAAGAAAAAAAAAGGGGGTCTGAGATTTCATAGGGCTTTTAAGTAGGACTGTCAATGGGGCTGGGCCAACCCTCGCTCGGCCCGACAGAAAGCCCGACGAGCCCGATCATTTAGTGAGCCGGTCTGAGCCTGAGCCTAAAAATTAGGCCCGAATTAAATGTGAGCCGAGCTTGGGCCTTATTAGGCTCAAACCCGATATAGGCCCGGCCCTTTAATTACCTATATATATATAATATTTATATTTTGATATTATGTATAATTATATATCCAAATATAATATTACTAAATACTAAATATATACATAAATTACAAAACACAAAAATACATCTAAAAACTCTTTCATGAGCTTTCTTGAGAGCCAATATTGGTAATGCATAACTAAATCTCTAATTTTTCTTATTGGTTGAGTAAATTTTTGTATTGGCATAATATTGGTTGATTTTTTTTTGGTCTACAAACACAAAAATCATCAAGTATATTTGGATTTAAATCACAAGATTATAAAAAAAGTTTCAACTTTTAAAGATGTATTGGCTTATGATCGCATGTTTTATTACTATTTTTCATGCATTTTGAATGGATTAAATATAAATATTGTTGAAAATTTTTTGGTTTATATACGGCTCCGTTTGGATTAGCTGTTTTTAGGGTTGTTTTTCAAAAACACCACTGTAGCATTTCGAATCTGAAAAACAAGTCCGTTTGGATTATTTGTTTTTGGGGTTGTTTTTCAAAAACTATATGAAAAACTTTTACTGTAGATTTTTTTGGATTATTTTTAGAGGTATTTTTGAAACATATTTTTGAGTATTTTTAGAATATTATAATTTTTATATTTTTATATAAATATACATTTATGCATTTATAATACATTTATATTTACAAATGTATAAATGTATATTATTATAAATTATAAATTATAAATGAATATTATATAAATGTATAAATTATAAATTATAATTTTTATATAAATATACATTTAT